AATCCTTGCTCCCAGCAGCTGGAAGACTCTAGAACCACCGCTGTTCCCAGCAACCTTAACCAGTTCTCCCATTGATGCTGATTCTGCAGTTTCTACCTCAGTCAGTTAAATAACCTGCTGCTGTCATTTTTCTGCTATTTTCAAACATCCATTACTGTAAAAATGTCCATAGCTGTATTATTTATTCTCCAGGTGCAGTTTTATATTGTTAAAACGCTTTCAGCACAGTATTTTATTTATTTTTCTTAACTCTAATTTTGTTATTTTTATACACTTTTAAATTCCACATTTGTGTGACTACCTTTGCTGTACTGCTGCTGTCCCTTTATTGTCCCACAATGTCCCCATTGTGGGACAATAAAAGGATTTCTTATTCTATTATATTCAATAAAAAAATATATAAATAAGAGACTCTGTAAGAACACATGAGAGCCTGAAAAAAAAAAAGATCAACAGGAAGACAAACTTCATGATTCTCCAGGCTTTTGGTAAAACATTTGATGGGCTGATAAGAACAAAGTCTAACTTTTTGGAAGTTTTTTTATGGCGTTATCTTTGGTGTAAAACTAAGAACTGTCCAATAAAATGAACTGAAACTGAAATGGTGGTTTGATGCTTAGACCTGTTTTGCTGCTTTTAATCATCTTGAAATAATTTAAGGAACCATAAATGATTCTCTTCCTGTTATTTTTTCCAGATAATATGTGAGGCTGAAACCATGCAGACGAAATCATCTGCATAGTTTCAGGGTTGGAATTAGAAGCCATAGTAACCAATGCTGTAATTCCCACTCGCTCCATGGCCCTGCGGTACGATGGAGAGCCCTCCTGTAGCATCCATCAGAGATAGGAATGTTCATTTTTAAAAGATGATGAAATATAGAAATATATATAGAAATATAATCTTTACAGACTCCAACCACCTGAGCTCCAGGTGGTTGGAGCGGCACCAGGTGGCCCCTAGTCCCCCAGCAGACTCCTGTCCTCCTCCCCTCTGTTGTCCCTGATGCAGCCCCCATGGCTGTGTCATCTGCATCCTTCTGAATGTGACACAGGTGTTCAAGGTGAAGAGGACAGGGGCCAGCGCTGGGCCCTGGGGGGCTCCACTGCTGCCGCCCACAGTTTCAGAGAAGGTGTCATTCAGCCGGACATGCTGTGGCCTGTCTGTGAGGAGATCCAGGCCCCCCAGGCAGGGTTCCACTCCCATTATCCCGTTTAACTGGGTTTAAAAGCTTGGATTAAGAAAATAAATCTTGTTTGGTTTCCACTCCGTTTGAGACACATGACATTGGGAGATGTTCCTCACCTGAAAATGTGAGATCACAGGACATGATCATGGTTCCCATGTGATGTCATCAGAGTCACGTCCATAGAGAGAGAAGCACACAGCAGGGAGGGGCTCCTTTAATGGCTGACTCACCAGCAATCAGCTGATCCATCACTGTGATGAACAGGTGATGCCATTAAACCCCTGAATAGTAAAAAAAAAAGGTGCCATTGATAAAATGATATTCACAAACCTCATTTTAAAGCATTTTTTGCTGATAAAATTCTTAACGTTGATCATGCATGTTTATTAAGCCCCATACTCTAGACTCAAAGGGTTGGACCCAGAATTCATGGCGAGACAGACAGAAGGTTTATTTAAAGTAAAGAGGATCTGCAGTGACTGCGATTGTGACAGAGCTCCACCCATCACCGGAAACTCTGGTTTATGAGAAAAACACAGATAAGTGACCATGATAATCTGACGGTTATCCATGCGAGTCACTAACCTGGTTCAACAGTTTAGTTCATCTCCTTAGAACGAAGTAGGATCCAGCCGGTGGGCTCCCAACAAGATGTGTGGGTGCCGCCCAGAGTGAACCAGATGCTGGAACCCCTAGAAAACATGCAGGAGTCTGAAGGCCGGTCAGGGAAACGCATCAGAAGAGGACAGTTCAGAGATCCAGGAGTCCGGAGCCCATTCAGGGGTTCAAATCAGAACAGGAACAGGCTGGTTCAGGGTTCCAGGAATCCACAGAGAGTTCAGGCAGAATGTTCAGATGGGAACAGGCAAGCTCAGTAGTTGAGAGGCAGAACAAGGCAGGATATCAGGAACACTACGGTACGCTGAAACTCGCTCCCTCCACTGAGCCAAGACAGGAACATGAACCGATCAGTGGATAAGAGACAGAACATGATCAGGAAAACAGGAACACTGCGAAGCACTCCAAACCTCTCACCTTTCAATAACATCAACTATGGTATCTGCAATGATCTAAACCTCAATGATCTGACCCCAAAAGCTGGGGCTGAGCCGTATTTAAAGCAGCAGGAGCAGGTGGATAAGATGAGTTATAAGTGGAAACCAGGCAGAGTAAGACAGGTGAGTGAACGGAGCAATTAGTCCAGCCCCCAGAGCCATGATCATGACACATACAGCCTGATACACCTAAATATCTAACGGGATATTATCTTAGACCTACCAATATGGGGCGCAGCACTGTGACCCCAGATTCCACATACTCCGTCAGCGCTCCGCTCCGCCCCGCTGACATATGTCCTGCGAAGTACTTGTCTTTCATGTAAACCAATGAGAGCTGTTCCACATCCACCGCTACTCC